GGTATGACAGTACTAAAACTTAACCAACCCAATATCACAAGTACAAGAAGACAAGTGATCGCCTTTACCATTTACTAACCCCGAAACCAACCCAACCCCCTCCCCCCCCCCCCCAAAAAAAAAAAAATTTTGACCTCGCCCATGAAAAAGCTAGTCTAGAAAGCCAATATCTTTTAGGCAGAATACATAAACGGCCCCTTAAACTTGGCCATAATTTTCACTTAGACACTTCAACTGAATCCTGTACCTATTGAACACCTAACACAAACTAAATTGTTCCTATTAGGCACAACTTGCTGACATGGCACATAATGTGAGTTACACTGCCGTGAAGCGCGTGAAAGATATTATTTTTTGAATTTCTCTTTCTTCTTCTTCGTCTCTCACCTCCACCACCATATGCACCATTACTCTTTATTTTCTTCCTCCCAGCATAACCTTCACAAATTAAAGTGACTGAAAATATCCTCTATTATAGAGAGAAAAAGAACCCTTTGGACTAGTAAAAATAGAGAGATTTGAACTCACGCGGATCTGAGAAAAGAACAAGCATAGATGAAACAAAAGAGGAAATGGGTCGTCGGAAAAGGGTATTCCGGCCGAAGCTCCTTTCTCAGTCAAATTTTCTACCGATTCTCGCTTCTCCGGTGGTAGTTCATTCCCTAGCTTTAGATGCAAATAAAGAAAGAAGATAAAAATCTCTACATGTATAATTAAAACTAATGAATTGGTTTGCATATTAAAAATATTATAACTGAAACACTAGGTAAAATCACAATGATCGACTGAGATTCTTTTGTTGTTGGAGACATTAAATTCTCCTAAAATGATGGAAAATTATGACAATTACATGAAGAGGCTACGCATTGTTTCATATCCAGACCACTCAACATATGGTACATTTTTAAGATTAATGAGGTCCAATGTTTGAGGTAGAAATGCTAGCATTAAGAAAAAGAAAAGAAAGCTTTTATTAGCCTATGGAAGAAGATGGGATCTGGAGCGCCTTGGGGGGGGGGAGTCTGTGTTGAAAAATTACTTCAAGAAGTTATAATTTCTAGAGGACTCGCTTGAGAAAAGATCAAGGATTAGCAGGTAGATTGGAGATGAGATTCATACGGAACTTTTCCAGAAAACGGGTTGTTTTGAAGGTCAAGAATCTCCAATTTCCAGCAGTCGGAATAGGGACTGGACCGACTGGTCAAAGGAAAAAATTGAATACGAAAAAAGTTTTATTTTTGCTGCTTGTTATAGTTGCCGCTTGTCTTTATTTTTATTTGTTAATGCCACTTCAGCAGCGTTTGAAGTACACACACTTTGTTATTTTGCTGGAGTGTGTTTAAAGGGTTCAATAGGCACATTATATATGGAGTTTAAGTGCCAAATAGGTACAAACCTCTGTTGAGGTATACAAATGAAAATTATTGTCAAGTTAAAGGGGCTGTCTATGTATTTGGCCTATCTTTTATATATTCACCTTTTTATAATAGATTATATAATTACGTTCTATGGATGAAACAATCAGTTATTGCCCTACCCAACCAGACACAGAGCTACAACAACCTAACTTACTGAAACTAGCCACTTTTGTACAAGGAATCGTGAACTATTCATTTCTGTAATACTAACATCTCTTTTATACAAATGCACCTAAAAGTTTTTTATGGGAAATGAAACAACTACTACTTAAAAAAATAGTTGTTCCTTATTTTTCTTGATAAAATATATTTATCTTGACGCAGAGGAAGGCCGTTTCGACCTCAAAACACCAATAGGTAAAGTATTGAATATATAGTGTTTTCAAAATAAGCCTCAGAAACAAATCTTTGCAAATGCACGCTTTTACGTCCAGACTAATCATAACATCCACTTGTACTAACAACAAAATTCAGAGACCTCCTCGGTCGAGCTACTAGCTTTCTTAGATTTCATTCCTGTTGACTAATCCGAGTCCTTGAGAGCTTAGACGTCAGAGGGGAAGAACTCCAAAAGAATTTGATCGGCTCCTCCTCTCTTGCCCTCTTGATGGTATCTAGTAGAAACGGTTCATTCTTTGGATTGACATAAAAAAAAAAAAAAATGGTTTTTCAGCATAAATAGTTTTTAAGCCAAAAAGTAATAAGTTGGGGTTGGCCGGCTTATTGCTTTTGGCTTGTTTTAAGCAGTTTTAAACTTATTTTAAGCACTTTTTAACTTTAACAAACAGTGAAAAAAGCTAAAAAGAGTTTAAAAGCTGATTTGGCCTGCTTAAAAGCCAATCGAAACATCCTCTTAGTTCAAGTTCTCTAACAATCAAAAAATAAAAATAAAATACACAGAAACACCAGCTGAACATATGATCATATAAAAAAGCAGTTATATAGAACGCCGAATAAATCAAGCAGTCATATAAACAACAAGACAATGGGACATGATTATTCTCAAAATAAACACTAAATTTTACTTAAAAAATAAAAAAATAAAAAAAATAAAAAGTACAAACCAAACCCTAATCGAAAGAAAGCACAGACCTGGCCTTTGACTTTGAGATTGATGTGTGCAGCTTGATCTCCACTTGGCTTCTTATCTTCCTCTGTTTGCGACATCTTTCTCTCTCTTGTACTCTATACCAAAAGAAGATTACAGGACTATCAATTTGAATGTTCTTTAGCTATTTATAGTTGGTGCCTGCTGTGCCCTTGGCGTAAAAACCACGCAATTTTTCCTTTTTTCTTCATTTTTGACCTATCAGATTCCTTTTTGTTGTATTTGTTTAATTGCACTGCTATATATACACAGAATCATTAGATTAATATAACCGCTTCATTAAATCACTTCACTAGTAATAGATTAATATGGTATGATGTTAATATGTGTTAGATAGATTGTTGTTAAATAAATACACTATGTTGTAAGAATTTTTATGTGGTGAACTATTGTAGTACATAGTAATGGTTACTTCTTAAAAAGACCTTGTCACGACATACTTTATTCACATATTGCTAAATACTTTGGGTGATTTTTAAAAATAGCCAGATTTACAACTGGTCGTTCAAAAATAGTCCAATTTCAAAAGTAATCGAAATTTAGCCACTTTTTATGTAAAGATAAATCTGAGCGAAAACACTGTTCAAAACTCGAAAAATACTCCAGCATATTATGCTGGAGTTCCAGCATAAGTATACTAGACTCCAGCATATTATACTGGAGTTCCAGGATAGTATGCTAGAACTCCAGTATAATATGATGGAGTTCCAGCATAAATACACTAGAACTCCAGCATAATATACTGGAGTTCCAGCAAGTATAATGGTCCAGTATAATATACTGGAGTTTGGAGCACCAGTGCTCCAGTCTCCAGTATATTATACTGGAGCCAGCAAAGTATACCGGTCCAGCGTAATATGCTGGAGTTCATACACAAGTGCACCGAACTCCAGTATATTATGCTGGACCGGTCTCTATTGCAGCAAAACGGTGGCTATTTTTCATTGACTTGGTAAACGCTGGCTATTTTTGATTGACCAGTCCGAAAACTGGCTATACCGTGAAATTTTGGCTTATATTTTACATTATAATATGTGTATATATTATCGCACAAGTTAATGGGAATACTATTTAATCAAACGTTAATTAGTTAAATTAGCATTATTTTTTTTCATATGACCAACTAGAAATTGCATTAATTATGCAATTTTTATTTTCTCCCACTAGATTTTTTTTTTTTTTTTTGGAGGTGTATGGGTCCAAATTTGGACGACCACGACCATTGATGAATACGACAAACGACGAGATCCTCGTAGCTCGACATCCTGTGGAGGACGACAGACAAGCGTACAAAGATTGCACGACTTTTACAGTAGTGTAGGTCCAATATGGGGCATTAGGAATATTCTTTCGAATATTCCCTATGATATGCATTCTAGGGCATAGAAGGGGTTTGTCCCTTATATATAGCGAAAAAACAATCTTGTAAAGGGGTCTTTTTTCTGCCTTTCTAGCTAAGAACACTGACTGTAATACTTTTCTCATAAACGATTGGCATCCTTAATGTTCGATCACTCATCCTCGCAAGATCAAGAAATATCATCCATTGTATTCATCTTTTATACCTTTGGTTCTAGAGTTTATTATACTTAGCTAAGATTTACCCCTTCATTTTTTTTAATTGATTTATTCAAAAAGGTTCAAATATCTTTTGAGTCAAACAATTTGGCGGCGTCTGTGGGGATTTCTATAGCTGAGATTTTAGTTTCGTCTAGATCCTTGAAAGGGATAATCACCTCTTCTTGGCCTCGCAAAGACCAACAATGGCAGGAAAAAGGGAAGCAAGATTAAAGGCAATAGTAGGTGTCACGAACAACCTTCTGGATTCCATCAACAAAGCTGGCAGGGAAGACAATGAAAATGCAACGCCAAGCGTTACACCTAAGGGAGATGCCTCAACCCCCCTCCGCGCGAAAGCGTGACTGTCTCGCATGAGAGGGAAACCCCAACATCCGCAGCAGGAGAAGCACCACCGGCTGTGAAAAGGCTATTAGAAGAGTGGTTGACAAACACCTTGAGCAACATACTCGATAAACCCGTTCAAAGGGATATCGGAGGCACAATACACGCAGAAACCACAACTGTCGTCGATGAGCCAGAAACTCTATGCACAGGTAACGCTCATACTGTCATTGATGCAGGTAACGATGCACTTGTGCCATCTTAAAGAAAATGGAAGAAATGGAAAATGAGAACAAAACGCTCCGCGATCAGATGAAGGAGCATCAAGAAAGGGTCGATAAAATACCGGGCACTCCGAAGTTGCTACCAAAACGTGACGTAGGCCGATTCGTCGAGCAACCATACAGTGAAGGGGCAGGCCCCCACTCTATTCCAAAAACCTTCCAAATGCCGCCATACTTGAAAATATACAATGGCACCACGGACCCGGAAGATCACATAATCCACTACATTACTGCAGTAAAAGGCAACGATCTGTCGAAAGAACAGGTGCCATCGGTGCTGCTGAAAAAGTTCGGCGAAACTCTGACAGGGGGAGCGTTTACATGGTATTCCCAACTACCGGCACGGTCAATATCAACGTTCAAAGAAATGGCAGATAAATTCGTCACCGCCACGCGGGAGCGAAAAAGGTAGAAGCCAGGGTAAATGACATCTTTGGCGTTAGGCCGACGACATGCGAAGGACTTCGGGATTTCCTAGCCCGATTCATCAGGGTAAGAATGAGCCTACCGAACGTATCAGAAGGGATGGCGATAGCAGCCTTCCAAAATGGGTTAAATAGAAGCGGGTCGAAAGCAACCAAAAAACTACTAAGTAGACTCATGAAATACCCTCCCACCACATGGGAAGAAACCCATAATGCCTATTGTGCCGAAGTAAAGGCAGATGAGGACGACTTAAATGGTCTGCTCCAATGACTAACGTCGGTCCAAATCGAAACAAGGAGAGATCACCGCAACGTGTCGAAGGGATAAACTATCCCGTTTCAATCGAGAAAGGCATCGGCCCTACATCTGGGCATCCATCCCTCCTCCTCCACGACATGCAGACGTCACGCCTCGACACATCGTGCCACACCAAAACAAGAGAGGTATGCCTCCACTATTATCTGCTCATAACTTTTGCATTTCTTCTTCAGAAATAGTGTATGCCTAGAAAAGCTCGGCACAAAGGTGTAGTGGCCGCAAAAGATAAGTCAGATCCGAGCACCCGGAGATCGAACGTTCTGTGTGAATTCCACCAGGAAGAGGGACAAAAGACCGAAGACTGCATAGGTCTGCGACAAGAAGTGGTAAAAATGCTAAACCAGGGACACCTAAAAGAACTGCTGAGCGATCGAGGACGGGTTAACTTCACTCATGGACGCGATCAACCACAAGGACCCCCAAAACCACCTTCACCAGCTCGTACCATACAAATGATCATTGGCGGCGGCGATGATACAGTAATCAACCATGTGAAATTCACCACCACACACAAACTCAAGCGGATTGTCGCTCACGAACGGTACAACAACCTCGAAGATAGTATCATCTTCGATAAGTCAGACACCAACGGTTTGTATTTCCCTCACTATGATGCTTTGGTTATAACTTTACGTATCACGGATACCGATGTAAAAAGAATAATAGTGGATGACGGAAGCGGCACGTGTATTATCCACCCACGAGTCCTCATACAGATGAGACTCGAGGATAAGATAGTACCGTGCTGCATAACACTAACGGGTTTTAATAATGCAGTGGAACAAACCTCTAGAGAGATAGTGCTGCCCGTTCTGGTAGGGGGAGTCACTCTGGAAACAATGTTTCACGTCCTGAACTAGGAAACAGCCTACAATGCTATCATAGGGCGTCCATGGATACATACCATGCGAGCCGTCCCGTCAAGTTTCTATCAAGTAATCAAATTTCCTACCCATGAGAAATATTCAGCATCCGGGGCGAGCAACGCACCGCCCAAGAATGCTACCGAATCGCCCAAGATTGCATAAACACCCAACAACTAAAGGGAGCAAGTGCGGAAGCATACAATCAGCCATACCGGGAACCAAACCTGACATACAAATAGAGGCCATCAAAGACCCAGATGTCGTAGAAGCCTGCAAGGCAACCGTAGAAGACCTCGACCCCGTTTAATTGGACAAAACCGATAGGACGAAAAAAGATTATATCGGACACAACCTCTCAGAACCAAGTAAATTCCATGAGTTCTTAACTAACAATGCCGATTTATTTCCCTTTTCCCATTCAGATATGCCGGGAATCCCAAGGGACATCGCCACACACAGGCTGAATGTCGACCCTCTTTACCCGCCAGTGTGGAAAATGAGGAGAAAGTTTAATGCCTCAATCAACGATGTAGTCAGCGAATAAGTTGACAAGTTGCTCGCTAATGGTTCCGTCCGAGAATCAAAGTATCCTTAGTAGGTCGCCAATGTGGTCATGGTAAAAAGGAAGAACGGGAAGTGGCGGATGTGTGTCGACTTCACCGACCTGAAGAAAGCAAGACCAAAAGATTCCTTTCCATTACCACACATCGACCAGCTCATCGATGCAACGGCAGGGCACGAACTATTGAGCTTCTTAGACGCCTATTCTGGTTATAACCAAATCTTAATGGCAGAAGAAGACCAAGAAAAAACCACTTTTATCACCCACCAAGGAACGTACTGCTATAACGTCATGCCATTCGGACATAAGAACGCAGGGGCGACGTACCAAAGGTTGGTCACCAAAATGTTCAAAGAACAACTCGGGAAGACTATGGAGGTCTACATCGACGACATGCTAGTGAAGTCGAAAATGAAGAAGGACCACAATGGTCATCTAAAGGAAGCCTTCGAAATATTGAGGTGATACGGAATGAAATTGAATCCCGATAAGTGCGCCTTTGGCGTAACCTCAGGCAAATTCCTCGGTTTTTTGGTGTCGCAAAGGGGTATCGAGGTCAACCCGGATAAGATCAAGGCCATCAAAGGAATACCGGAGACATTAACTAGCAAAAAGCAGGTACAAAAATTGACAAGACGAATAACCGCCCTGTCGAGGTTCATCTCACGATCATCGGACAGGTGCCATAAATTCTTCAACATACTAAGGAAGGATCACAGACTACAGTGGAATTTAGAATGCGTCAACGCCTTGAGAAAACTGAAAGCGTACCTGTCCTCCCCGCCACTACTTGTCAAGGCAGACCCTGGCGAATGCCTCCTAATGTATCTAGCAGTCTCCGAAGTCGCGGTAAGTGCAGTTTTGGTCCGCGAAAACAAAGGTACGCAATCTTCAATTTATTATATCAGCAAAACCTTAATTTATGCCGAAACAAGGTACCCCCACCTTGAGAAATTAGCTCTGGCGTTAGTCGTAGCTTCACGAAAGCATAGACCATATTTTCAATGTCACCCCATAAAGGTGGTGACTGTGAGCACGTAATTTTTGCCTCATACGAATTACTCCAAAAGAATTCCAAAAATTAGGTCTTTTCTTTAATATGTGCTATTTTTAGGAATTATCGTACGATTTTCCTGATTGTTTGCGTTATTGTGCATATTTAATTTCCATTAAAAATAAAAAAATACCAAAAATACCATGCATTGCATGTAGATTTTGTTCACATTTTAGGATTAATTAATTAATTAATTGCTTTATTAAAAAATAAAAATCACAAAAATGACTCATTTTTACATTTTTAGCTTTAAATTTTGGGTTATTAAGTTTTCTCTTTTAATTTAGGATGAATTAATTTTTATAAATATTATAGTTAGATAATTAGCTTAATTTTACAATTTGAATTGATTTTGGGAATTTAATTTAGGTTTTAATTAATTAAAGATAGAAAAGAAACAAAAAGAAAAGAAAATTACAAAGATTGGTCTTAAATTCGAAATTGAGCTATGTAATGAGTGAGACCAAATCTTTCAATACCCATTTCTTCACTTAAACTAGCCCATCTCCTTACCCAGCCCAAGAAAAAAAGGGACTTGACCCAAATAACCTCTGACCCGCCCCTTTTCCCCACCTAAAATTCTAACCTAGACCTATACACACAAAAAAGAGACCTAGAGACTAAAGGAGGAATCCGCCGCAATACATCCCCCCCCCCCCCTCACGATCTCATCTTCTTGATATTACTCAAATCCTCAGTAACAATAACTGAAACCTCTCTACTCTATTATTAAGGCTGAAATGTGATTACAACTCAAATATCAAGATGCAACAACTTAGTAGCAGAATTACAATAGAAATTGCAGGAAGTAAAGTAACTAGAGATAGATAGAAGAAGGGGATGAGAAGGTTAGTCTTAGAGAATAGGAGAGGAGGAGAAACAGACACTTTTCTCAACAATAGGCATATCCCGTATCTCCCCCCGGATCCCAAATATAATGTCCAAGTATTCTATTGGGTTGTTTAATCATTGGGCTTTTAGCTCCATGCCCAATAGTCCCAACTGGATCAGCCTCGTTCCCATAATTCCTTACTAAGTTGGGCTGGTTCACAACAATACTCTCATCCTCAAAAAGAACCTTGTCCTCAAGGTTCGAGTAGAGCAATACTGATATCCTAGTGCTCGAGGTCCACTTGTGTACCAGAAACAAACCGCCAGCCCCATAGTTAATGCGCGAAGAGATGCTTAGAGCGTCCATGATGTCCCCCTTTGAGTTGAATATATAGATCAAGTATCAAAGAAAGTACTCTTCTAATATCTTGCTCCCAAATTTGTAACAGATGTTCTAGATTGCATATTCCCTTTCCAAGCCTCATTTTTCCAGAGAAGTGAAAGAGAGTATTTGGCAGAACTCCCTTGAAACTTTGAACAAACAAGATCAGTTGCGTAGAAACAGCCATAGTTTCAAGGAAAATGAGCACTTTATACCAACAATCACACCAACTCAACTGTTCAAGTAAAGTTATGACCCCATCAACCTTATGTTTAAGCAAATCAAAAAGTATCTCTTCAGCCGCAGCACAAGCTTTAGCAAAAGGGAACTGTCTCCTCCCTCTCTTTGCGATTCTCGTAGGAAATTCAAACACTGCCAGCTGGTGAATAGTTTGGCTAACCCAAACAACAGATGTACCAATGAACTTTAGGAGAGCTCCACTTAGAACCACAGTCATAAATCGAGCCGAATGATTAGCCACCATATCATAATATTCAAGTTGGTGACCCAAGTATATGAAACTCAATTTCTCAATAACTGCAACAAGTGTCTCCATTATCTGTTTTAGATATTTAGAATACAGAAATGCATGAAAACGACCAAAAGGCAAGATAAGATTAGAGGGCTCCTCCCACTTTGACCCACTCCGATGTATCAAGGGAAATGCATTATCCTGGACAAACTCACTGCTGCATGAGTAAAAGTACAGCAGGTCCAAAAATTGAGCAATAGATACAACCATAACAGGAGAAATATCATCTCTAAATATATGAGTGGAGTTACTAGAGATCTGCTCATTCTGAGTACTAACATAAGCAAGACTCAAGCATCTTATAGCTCCTTTCCGAATTGAGCAATTCACATCAGCAAAAGTAAGTGCAAGAGCAATCTTACTAGCCTCAGTATGTCTCAACAGAAGATCCAAGGGTTCAATGCAAGCATCCCACGTGGTTGATGTCAAACCCAACACCTCAGAGAAATCAGAATTTCGTGTAGTCCCAAGGCATGCAGCAAGAAAACTAGTACCAGGATCAAAAGGAAAGTCAGTACCACCAAACTTAGCATTCGTGTTTTCATACTTAGCATCATTAGGTACCAAGGCTACAGATGGTTGTAACTTTCTTCGTTGCTGGACATGCAAGGCCGGTGATCCTAAGAACAGCTCAACAGGTTTGCTGGCAGTTGGGTCATCCGTCGGAACTTGCATATTTTTAATCAAGGTATGCCACCATATCGACTCAATGATCCACGAGAAAAGCCAAGATGTGACTCGCTCTAAGTCAACTGTTGAAGTGCTCGCGTCATGCCAATCAACAATAAATTGCAAAAGGTCACGCTTGCTGGATTGTTTGGATCGTAGAATCAATTTAATGAGTCCCTCCGAACTGATATTTACCATATGAATACCCAAATATTTAATGACCGTCAGAAACCCCGCAAGAGCTTGCACAAACTTCATAGCAATGGTGTCGGTAAGGTCATTTCCTTCTCTTGCAAACCAGTCATGAAGAGCTGTACAGAGAAAGAATTTCAGTTCATCAAGCTCACTATCTATCTTAGGCTCACAATCCGCGCACAAAGTTATTTTCAACCCATCATGCATTCCTTTCCCAACATCCACAATAATGTGAAAGCCTTCACTTTCGAGCCTCTCAATGGGGAATTGGTAACAAACATGCTCAATCTTTTGCTGAAATATTCCTTGGCCATGATGCTCCAAATCAAGAAGTGCAGCAACACCTCTTACTACTTTCTCTTCATGTGTTGAGCCCCTACCAAAAAGTTGGCTAAAAATGTTGTTGATGTTCAGTCTAGCACCTCTACTTCCCATAGCAGAATTTGAGAGTGTCAAGTTTCCAAGGTCCATTGCAGTAGTATCACTTTGCTGTCCATCAGTGTTGTAGATTGTGTGTGGCGCGTAAACAACTGCTCGCCAACCAGTTGCAAAAACATAAGAGCTCAAGGGTGAAGTAAAGACAAGCAAATATCCAGAGTTCGTATCAATGAAGTCACCGACATACGCTGGAAATGATGCAACCACATTCGCAAAAGGAATTGCCAGCGCAGAGCTACTGGCATGGGAAAACTCAGCAGTCACAGTAATCATCTCACTATAACTGGGATAGACAATAGTTGGCGGTATGAAAGAGTCAAACACAGTGAGTAATTTGTTGTAAATCATTTCGTCAAACATCGGTCTCCAATTGTCCAGCCAACTAAATGTGATATACATATATCTATATATTAGAATAATCAAAAACGAAACTAGAGAAAACTTACTAGTTGTAAGTCTTTGCCCCATGTTATACTACTGGTCTAAATAAGTGTTGTAATCATGTTTTGCATGAGAGTTTAGTAGCTTAATTGCATTGTCAGCGGAGTCAATATCCTTGTTTCCCATATAGACCAATACCATATATAACATAAGCTGCCCAGTATCAAACCAACTGCAAATTTTTGAATTAGTCCCATGAATACAGTAAAAAGTTTCGACAGACATAGACCATTGTGAATTTGAAGATGTATGACATCTGTAAATGGATGTGTAATTTCAACAGTTCTCACTATGTTCTCTGGTACTACATACTCCCAGCAAGGAAAAGGAACCAGAAAATGAGGTATATGCATTTGAGCCAATTTGTCAAACAACCGGTTTGCAGTGTCGCTTGAATTTTCCTCCACCTTAGTGTAGACTCGTTGGTCCTCCTCTGATTTTTCGGCATATGAATTAGAGTTTATCTTCATTGTATCAAAAAGTTCCTCCGAGTCTATAGACAAAATCTCAGTACTAGCAATTTGTTCAATCCTTCGGGGAGTTCCATCGAACACCTTGTCTACGACAGCCACAGACTTGTCTCCATCAACGAGAAGAGAGTCAGTTTCAAGAACTTCGAGGATTTGAGTAGATGCAGACTCAGGAAAATTAGGAATATGGCTCGGAGCAGCAAAAGGAGACACATAGGTTGCTGGAAGAATCAATGTAGCGCAACTCACGTGGTCAACCCAGGCTCGGGAAGTAACTTCCATTCTCGCCGAAGCACTGATGGTCCGTTGTCGAAATCGCATAAGCAATTTTTCCTTAAAATGCGTGCAATCGAAGAATTATTCGTTGCGAAACAACCAATTGAACCAAGTAAGAGCTTCACCATCAAGGTAAAAGGAGGGGAGAGGTAACCAATCCTTCTCCGCGAATCCAAGATAGGTGAAGTACCGCTCGGCCCGAAAAAGCCAGCGCAATGCGTTGCCGTTTCCATTAAATCGATCTAATACCTCCATTGGAGTCCGATGGATGAAAGCACCAATGTAATAAACTCAAATCCACAGTAACAATAACTGAAACCTCTCTACTCTATTATTAAGGCTGAAATGTGATTACAACTCAAATATCAAGATGCAACAACTTAGTAGCAGAATTACAATAGAAATTGCAGGAAGTAAAGTAACTAGAGATAGATAGAAGAAGGGGATGAGAAGGTTAGTCTTAGAGAATAGGAGAGGAGGAGAAGAAGATACTTTTCTCAACAATAGGCATATCCCGTATCTCCTTCGGATCCCAAATATAATGTCCAAGCATTCTATTGGGTTGTTTAATCATTGGCCTTTAGCTCCATGCCCGATAGTCCCAACTGGATCAGCCTCGTTCCCATAATTCCTTACTAAGTTGGGCTGGTTCACAACAATTCCCCTACTCAAACGACCCTAAAACTTCGTCTTCTTCATCGAAGAACAGAAGCAGCAGCGGACTCCTTTTGACACCGCTATCTCCGGCAAACATAAACCAAAAAACGAGCAACGAGCACATGTAGAACCCGTCCGAATCGGCACCCAACAACAACCATGAGATTTGCTCGAAATCGACCCCAATAACCAGTAAAAGCAGTCGCAAATGGCTCATTTTCAGCCCGTTCGTGTTCGATTTTTCGGCGCCGTCGAGGTCCTTGGTTGAGTCTTGGTCGTGATTTCTCTGCTCGACATTGTTTCATTTTAGGAGGTTAGAAACAGAATCCAATTTTAGGTTAGTGTTGGAGTTTTTTGTGAGTTTTCCGGCGCTGTTGAGGTTCGGAATCCCATTTTGCAGAGTCGTCGTTTCCGTCGAGGTCGTTGACAGTCTCATTGAGGTTTCCGTTCGAGATTTGGTGGAGGATTAGCCTTTGCTCCAGTTTTTCTTTTCGATTTTTAGTTGTGTATCAGGTATGAATCTCGATTCGAAATGCTGAAATTGTTGATCCGTTTGCCACTATTTTCTTATGCTCCGACGTCTCCTTTGGATTGTTGAAACATATGTTCATGATTTGCTCGTTGACGACTTCAATTTGTGCTAATTGTTTACTGCCTCTGTTTTGTTAAAGTAAGCTGATTCATGTTCAGCCATATGTGAGCGAGGTTTTCCTTGCGGAGTTTACTGTTGTTATTCTTTCTACGAATTGCTTCTGTTCAGATTGTGACTCGATCTTTGCTTGGTTCTATTGTTATTGAGACGGTGTTTATAGTAGATTTTTGATGGAATTGAGATGAAATTCAATCAACATGGATTCTGTTAGTTTGATTTTTGCGTAATATGTGGTGTTTTGGAGCTTAATTCGTGTGGATTTCTCACTGATTAAGGTACTATAATTGAAGTCGAACTTTGAGTCCATGTTGATCCCTGTTCAATCTATGCTAAATTGTGTGCAAAGTTGAGTACTTGAGTCGGATCGAACGAGCTAATTGTGTGCCTGATAACATGTGATTGCTATTCACTCATTTGTCGGAAAAAGATCAAAACCTATAATCCTTGCTTTCGTTTGCTTGATTTGCTTTCATGTTGTGGCTATTATTTTGTAACATTGAGGCATATTGTAATGTTGTCGACATTCAGTGTGGATTTGATGTTTGATTGGTATGGATATAAAGCTTATACAGTTGCTTAAGAATGGCAGTGAGCATAGCTTCTGTTGTAATTTGGGCCATTGATTAAGTTTTGATCCTCGTTTTAATTCATTGTGACCCATTCCATAGCTAAGAATGCAAATCCGACTTTGAATATTGTGGATGTCACTTTTACTTTGGATAGGATTTCTAGTTGTTCATAGATCAAATTTGTAGGTATTTTAATAAAATCTTGTACATGTTAGCTTAATTTGAGAATTGTTTGGATTAAAGGGATTATCTACCTAACCAACTAAAGAAGCTTCTAGTAGTGGTAGGGTTTAGATTTCACTATTGGAAAATTTAATTCAATAAGGGTTGAGTGGAATCAATTTTTAAAATGTTGAAAGGCCATTTTGTGAATAAAAGGGCATTCCCCATTGCCTATTTAAGGAGATATAAGATAGACAAGAGGAGCACACACAGAAACACATTAAGACACAGACATAGAACACAAGAGAGAGTCAAGAACAATAGAGAGTTAGGAGCTGAAAATACAGAAATAGAGGCGGCTGGAACTTCAAGAGAGAAAATCTAGAAAAAATCAAAAATAGCTGAAAACCAAAAAAAAAAGGGGAAGAATTACTGTTCCATTGCATTTCTTTTCTATAATTTTAAGAGGCTTGTAGTTTTCTGAAGATTGTCCAAGGATCTAGTGTAGGAATGGAGTAGATTTGGTTGTTTGAAGTTTGGTTGTGAAGTTGCTTGGTTATTGCTCAATTGAAACAGTTTTCTCTTACTTCCAATTCATTTTCCTGGGTTGAATTGCTGCTGCTAGTGCTATTTTTGCTGATGCGTATTGCTGACTCCTCACTCCTTTTGGCTTTGTTTGTCTTGATGTTGTAACCAGGTATTCTCTACCACTTTGGCATATGAAATGGAAGAAGATGAAGTTACTTGAAATGAGTTGTCATTTATGTCGTAATACTTAGTTAAATGTGGTTGAGTAGGGAATCTCCTATAGTTGTTTTAAATTCCATGTTAACTTTTAGCCATACACGCTGAAGAAATATTTGTGTGGTAAAAAATTGATTAAACATCTGCTCTTTCTTGTTAAAAATTCTAAAGTTGGTAAAATTGTCATGTGTTGAAATCAGCTCAATGAGATGGATATGTGATTCTGCTACTGTTTTTGAACATGTTGTTGTTTCCTATCAAATTTTCTTCAGTTGCTTCAGTAAAACAGAAATTCAATTAAGATTTGATTTGTCTTTCTATTCCTCAAGCTTAATTCTAGAGAAATTAGATTATTGTTCTATTCTAAAAGGGGAATACTGGCAGTTGCTGAAATTGTAAACATTACTTTCAAATACTTCTTGTAGTGAATTGGATATTATATTGTCTACATGTGTACATTGGCACATTTTATCGTTCTGATTTGAATTGTGATGAGATAATGTGATGTTCCTTCTGGGTTGGCGTCTCCTATCCTATCATTTTAGGTAAAGGATGATCGGATAAAAGGAAGAGAGAGTGTAAATAATATGTTTATCAGGTTTCATTTTGCTAGTTATTTAGAGATCAAACCAAAACTTTGCCCTTATTTTTGCGTTTTTAATTCATGAATTTGGACGGCAGAAGTTGTGCAATTCTTTATCAAAAGAGATCCACTAACTTGGCTATGATTCAAAAGTGGAAAAGACATAGGAGGCACATTGCATATTCATTAAGTCGTTCTGAAGGAAATTAATTAGCAAGAGATTATCCCGAGAAGCAAGATATAATTTATGGCCCTCAGAAACTAAGTTTAGAAATACTTTTGATAGAATAATTTGAGGTGCGCCATGCCAAATAAAATCTCAAAATGCATGGTCCTCATTTAATTAATTTTAAATCCTTAGAAATCGAGGCATGTCATTTAGTCGAATTTTCATGGCCCTCGCAAAATGGCTAACGCGTAGTTGCTTTAGACGCGTTATTTTAATAATTTACCTCCCTAAACTCGGGTGCGCATTTATGTGACCCAAATCCAAATCTCAACGTTAAATAAAATGTGTTGCGAGCTGCAGGTGCATTTATGTGACGTGGTTCAAGATATATTTTAAATGGCGTTGCAATTTTCCTTAAAAAATAATTGAAAGCGGTGAATAAAGTTAAAATTGCACATAGGTTCAAAAATATTTTTTAAAATTTTTTTAGATAATTAAGCTGAAAATAACAGTTAAGCGACCATGCTAAAATCACGGAACTCGGAAATGCCTAACACCTTCTCTCGGGTTAACAAAATTCCTTACCCGGATTTCTGATTCGCGGACTGCAAAACAGAGTCAATCTTTTCCTCGATTCGGGATTTGAACCGGTGACTTGGGACACCATAAATCTCCCAAGTGGCGACTATGATCTTTAAATAAAATAAATCCCATTTCGATTTTCCTTTAATTGAAAAAATTCCCTTATACCCTCCGAGGGTGTGTAGGTAAAAAGGAGGTGTGACAGCTCTGGCGACTCTGCTGGGGAAAAGAACCCAGAACTTTTGGTTCAGGGTTAAGAATTCGAGCTTGGAATAATTGTTGTATTTGGCTTTATTTATTATCTGATTTTATTACATGTTTTGGACTAATGTGCAAAATGTTGCTTTTTACCGCTTTGATATTATCTGAACTGTGTATATAAACTTCTACGAAACCCTTCTCTTCTCTCTCATGAGGAGTGCACGCTGGTCGTGACTCCTTTCTGTTAGTGTCACATTCCCAAATAGAACGAGGTTCGGACAAGTTGAAAGCCGGATGATCTTTTGGTTACCGGTACACAGCCCCCCCCTCGGCTCGAGTTGTCCGCTCGGGTAAGCCAAGTCTAGAACAATACACCCAGATTTTATACTTAGAATAACTCAGCCTCATGTCGGATCCCTAGTAGGAACGTTTGTTTGCATCATGTGCATTTGACTTTGGAGACTCAACACAGGGGTTGGGTCTGTCTAGGACAGGTGTACCCAAAAATAAAAGATCATCCAGATGCATCCTAATGTGCTACATGTTGCAATCTTCAAAGGCAAAAGGGTCATTTGGCGGACCAATAATAGTTGAGGGCAAATTAAAAAAAAAGGAAAAAAAAAAGAGTGTGAAGTGTGAAAATAAAGCATGTAAGACCCAGTTATGTTTTCTGTAACATTTTTGTTAAAGAAAAAAAACCATGAAATTTAAAATAAAATAAAAAGATTTTGCATTTTTCAATCATTTTTCGAAAGAAAAAAAAAAGGAAAAGAAAATTCAAAAATAGTTTATGTTTCATCATTTTCAAAAAAAAAAAAGACAAAATATGTTTTCTCTTAATTAGTTATTTTTTTATTATTATTTCTCGACCGTATCCAATCTGCCCGAATTACGCATACCTGATTCTCGTCTTTCGGGACGTGATACGTAGGCAACCCACATAGGGTCTGGTCTTCCTAGTAAATCTTAGGTTCTTGGCTTTGCGGGGTCTTAGCCAAATTTTGCACTTCTAGCCACCTATTGGCCACATAAGTCATTTTGCAAAAAAAAATAGCCTCAACCATGTTTTACATGTGTCTAATAGGAAATGTTATGTTTAAGTTCTCTCATACAGGTGTGGATTTACTTATCAGAGTTTGAGCATGACAGATACCTCAGGATCACTGCATTCAGGAGTTGCTCGAGGAGTCATTTTATGTTTTTGAGTCAATTGTTCATGTTTTACTTTCTAGTCATGTATAGCAGTATTCAGTCTTTTAGGTGATGTTAAAGTTTGTAATAGTCTAGTTAAGTTTGCCTAGTCTTTTGTTATTGTATTTCTTATTTTGTATTTGGAAATGTGTTACAAGTCAAAAATGCGTTTTTTCGTTATAATACTAATTCTAGAAATGAAAATAAAAAAAATTTCTTTGAGATTGTTTTTCCTTTAGGCAATTAATATCAAAAAAAAATATTTTTATATCTCCTCTACTATATTTGGACCAAAATTTAAAAAAAAAAATAAAAAAAAATTGTTGTAGTACCTCTTTAAAAGCTTTCTTTAAGGTATTAATTTCAAAATCCAAAAAGATTTTCTTTTGAGGTGTTTCTTTGGGAAAATAGCTAAAAATGAAAAAAAATAAATTCTTTTTATTTTCATTAGAACTTTAGGATATTGTACATAGAAAAAAAAACATACTTTGTTTTTTGTTTATCATTATTTTTCTTTAGGCAATCAAAATTGAAATCCAAAAACATTTTGTTTTATCCTTTTCATTGCTTGTTTCGAAATCTTGCGTCAGGATATCAAACGAAAATTCAAAATATTTTTCTTTGGTTTATTGTTTAGATTTCCTTCCTAATTTTTTTTTTCTCTTGTAGGTTTTTTTAATAATTTCCCATAGAGTGTTTGTTTAATATATATATATATATATATATATATATATATATATATATATATATATATATGCTCGTTAAGCTTGAGTTTAGAATATGTTATAGAACTTTAAACATAAAAATTCAAAAAAAAAAGTTTTGCTTCTTTTATTTCTCTTTTCTCATCAGAGTAGTCATTAAGGTGAAAAAAAAAAACGTTGGTTTGTTTACTTTATTCCCGATCTTTCAGAACTACGCAAAGATCTGATTCATGCGGCGTCATGATACGTAAGCAACCTACATAGGGTTCGATCGAAGCTTTTTTATTATTATTAAGAGGAAAAAGAAAAAGAAAAAAACAAAAACAAAAAGAAAAGGAAAAGATGGTGAAATCATGGGATGTGAGAAATGAGAGGGAAGAAAAAAGCGATAATCAGAAAGAAGAAGGGGAAAGAAAATGAGTGAGCTAAGAGGTGCGAGGAAAGAAAAGAAAAGAAAAGATTCAAACGGACAAACTAGGATCATGCCAAGTGACCTTATGACCCTCGAAATCATTCTAGAACCATTAATTGTTGCTACGCAGTGTGATATTTTGCTGTTAAATGCCCTAACGCTAACAGGATGACCCCATTTTGTTCCTGTTAAAGTACCAGTCAGAAATTCACAAACTGCTACCATAATTCGACGAATGCCGCCTCGACCAGATACCTAGGGCGCAGAATATCAAAGCCGACGGTCTCGCCAAGCTAGAAGCAGCCACCAGAAATATCGACAAGGAAAACGTGGTCACCATTCTCCATTCCGCAATAGACCAGGTCGAGGTACATTCTATAAACCTAACCTGGGACTGGCGTAACCATATTATAACATATTTGCAGGAAGGGACACTCCCAGAAGATAAGAAGGAAGCCAAAAAGCTCTGAATACAGGCAACCAGATACAGCCTCGTAAACTATGATCTTTATAAAAGGACATTTGGCGGCCCCCTGGCCAAATGTCTTGGGCCAAATCAAACAAGGCGGGTACTAGAAGAAGTACACGACGGGAACTGCGGCACCCATATGGGAAACCGTGCCCTCGTCAGGTTCCTCATCCGCACAGGATACTACTAGCCTACCATGAAAAAAGAAGCCGCAGATTACGTCAGGAAATGTGAACAGTGCCAATAATACTCCCCTATGATACACCAAGCAGGAGAACTCCTGCATTCCGTCACTTTGCCATGGCCATTCATAAAGTGGGGGATGGATATTGTCAGACCCCTCCCAGCAGGACGAGGTAAGGTACGCTTCCTTTTGGTTTTAACTGACTATTTTTCTAAATGGGTGGAAGCAGGTGCATACACACAAATACGTGATCAAGAAGTTATCGCGTTCATATGGAAAAATATAATATGCCGTTTCTGCATTCCTAAAGAAATCAGCTGTGACAACGGACCTCAGTTCGTCGGAAAGAAGACAACTGAGTTTTTTGAAAAATGGCACATCAAGCGAATACTCTCCACACCATACCATCCCACCGGCAACGGCCAAGCTGAGTCCTCCAATAAAATGATATTGAATATATTGAAAAAGAAGCTAGAGGACGCCAAGGGGCTATGGCCTAAACTGCTTCCAGAAGAACTATGGGCATAACGCACTACGCCAAAAACTAGCACAGGCGAGACGCTATATTCACTAGTCTACGGGACTGACGCGGTTATACCCATCGAAGTCGGAGAACCTAGCTTGAGATACTCCAACGAAATCGGACCAAGTAACGACGAAAGTAGGCTATAAGACCTGGATGAAGTCGAAGAACAAAGAGATATGGCCCACGTAATAATGGTAGCCCAAAAGCAACAAGAAAAAAGGTACTATAACAAGAAGGCCAAAGTACGACCACTCAAGGTCGGAGACTACGTCCTCAAAGCTAAAACACAGACCCTAATGAGGGAAAACTGGGAACAAATTGGGACGGGCCATACAAAATCACGGCGGCAGCAAACAAAGGAGCATTCCAGTTAGAGACAATGGAAGGAAAACTACTCCAAAACAATTGGAATGTC